GCCACCAGCCATAAATCCATTAAAAAAAAAGACCAATTCGCCGCTAGATTCTTCTATTTTATGGTTTCAATTAGCTTAAGCTTTTAGTACGGACAGTCTCTCTTGAATAATAAAATCAGCTTACCAGATGACATCACTTCTGCCATTCTTAGGGGCAACCTGCAGTTTCAGTTAGCACGCAGCTAATCCAGAAAGGAATTGGCAAGAGGGGTTAATACCCCCCCCAGAGACTTTGCGAATGTCTCTGAGGTCCTGGGTCTCCCCTCACCTTTCACTGTCATCTCCGGGACAGCTAGGGTCCAAAAAACCCGTCCAAAAATCCTTCGGAATAAAGGAATTTCAGGAATAGCCTGAAACTCCGTCTTCTCACTGCTAAGCCCCGCCTTCCCCGAGTCTGCCCTTGTTCCTTAGCTAGCAACTCTGCGCATGCGCACATCGGGAACAGGCTCCAGCTGTTCTTTTGCCCCACTGATCTCTGAGTCCGAAGGCAGCTGATAACTGTGGGACGGCCCTGGCCCCAACTCTTCCTTCCACGCAGAGCCCTCATTGGAGCCTTCCCCAGACTCCAGGATGTGTCCATGTTCCTCCCCAACCTCCTCACTGCCTCAGTCTGCCACCAGTTCCACTGGCAGGCCACAACAGTAGCAGGCTTCCAATATTTGAAGACTGTCAGAGGGAAGATGGAGCTGAGCTATTCTCCAAAGCTCCCGAGGCAGGACAAGAAGTAATCTGTGAGAGAGATCCAACCTGCAGTTCATGCAACAGACCTTGTTGATCAGGGAATTCTGGCCGGCAGGGTCCAAGAGAAGAGCCTTGCTCCCTGAGATGAGATGGGCTTCCAGCCTCCTGACCTTCCATAGGAGCCAAACGTTGGCTTGGAGACCCAATGGGGGAGCATAATCCTACAGGTAATTGATTGACCAATAGCAGATCCCACCTCCCCCGTTGTACATTCTGCCTCTTCCCTTCCCTGTTTTAGTCTTATAATCCATATTATCCCCTCGTATTTCTTAGTGCTTAATTATAGACATGTTTTTATGGTTTTATTGTTTTTAATGTTGAAAAGCAACTGTCTGAAAAGGCTCCTGGATTGGGGCTGAAAGGTGAAAGCGGAAGCGGTTTGCTCCATCCCATAATTGGGTAGATCAGGTTGCCCTGATAGATTACAGAAAGAAAACACTGACTATATTTAATGTTGTAATCTGCCCAGAATCACCTCGCAGCAGGGGTGGCTTCCAACCGGCTTGGTTGCCGGTTCACTCATGCGCATGTGCTCAGGATGCATGCTGCATGCGCATGCATAGTTCAATTAAAACTGTTCTGTGCATGAGCAGAACTTAAAAACAAGATGGCGGCACCAATGGCGCCGCCCGGGGAACCGGTTCAGGGGCATGGCAGGCCTCGGTCGCTGCCGGTTCCAGCAACCCAGGCCCCCATACCACTACCGGTTGGGCCGAAGCGGGCCGAGCCAGTAGGAACCCACGTCTGCCTCACAGTGAGATGGGCTGCAAACAAATTGAATGAGTGGATGGATAGAGAGGTGATGGATAGATAGATGATAGATAGATAGATAGATAGATAGATAGATAGATAGATAGATAGATAGATAGATAGATAGATAGATGACAGACAGACAGACAGACAGACAGACATAATAACACTGCTGTATACCACATTGGGAAGGCCATATTTGGAATATTGCATACAGTTCTGGTCGCTAGGATACAAAATAAATAAATGCTGAGGCCCTAGAAAGTGTGCAGAG